ACTCGTCACATTTTTGTTCTAAGAATAAAATCTAATCTTTTAGCAAACTCAAGTACACAGTACATTATTATTAACTATAGTCATCATACTGTACAGTAAACCTCCTCCCCTTATTCATACTGGAACTGAAAATTTGTGCCTTTTGTGAGTTCAGACTGATTTTATATGTATAAGGTCATGCAGTGTTTGTCTTCCTGCACCAGGCCTATTTCATTTAGTATAGTGACTTTCATGTTTGCTTATATTGATGCAAATAACTAGATTTCCTTTTTTTGAGACCTAATAGTATTTCAATGTGTGTGTGTACTGCATGTTCTTTATTCATCCCGTTAAACACTTAGGCTGAGTCCTTGTCCCGGCTAATGTGAGCAGTGCTGCTGTGGACAAGGGATTGCCTGGCTGGGGGTCTGGCTCAGTGATAGAGTATGTGAGGCCCTGGCTTCAGTCCGCAGCATGATGGAAAGGGACGTGAGATGCAGATTTCAGTGTCTTTGGATTGTTTCTGGTGTTTTAATGAAACTTAATAATAAACTCCAGTGTAGTAATAAACTCCAGTGTTTTGTGTCACTAATTTATGTCCCAGCAGCAGTATATGAGGATTGCCTTTTCTCTGCATCCTCACCAACATTTTGTTACTGTCTTTTAGATAATAGCCATTTTAACAAGCAAAGTGATATCTTGTGACTTTTTTTTTTTGTCTTTTTCCTTTTTATTGGTACCAGGGATTGAACTCACAACTGCCTGCTTGTAAGGCAGGCGCTTATGCCGCTGAGCTAAATCCCCAGCCCCATATCTTGTGACTTTCAATTGGCATTTTCCTAATTAGTTATATTGAGCATTTTTTCACATGTACCTATTGACTACTAGTATACTTTCTTTTGAGAAATACTATTCACATTTTGTGGCCCATTTTTAGATTGTATTATGTTCATTATTGAATTCTTCAAGTATTTTAAATATTAGTTCCATATCCAACATATGGCTTGTGAATACTTTCTGCCATTCTATAGATTCTGTTGATGTGTTTCTTTGGTATGCAGCTTTTTCATTTGATAGAACCTTAATCGTCTGATTTGCTTTTGTTAACCTCTGTTTTGGAGGTGGTATCCAAAAGTCATAACCCAAACCAATGTCCTGGAGCTTTCCCCTGTGTTTTAGTCTAGTAATGTTACATATTTAAGGGGTAAGTCGTTAACCATGTTCACGATAAGGCCTTAATTCATTTATCTTACTGCTGGATGAATTGAACCACTGCTGGTACATGCATGATTGTCTCATCAGGCGGCTTTTAATTAATTTCATTAGTAAAAAGACTGATAAAAGTGATTAGATGAATTTGTATTACAAGTGGTACAAGCCCCCACAATGGGGTGGTCATGTGTGGTTCAAGTGAGCAGGAACGTGTTAATTTATTTTAAGTTGGTTTTGATATATTGTCTGAAATAAGGGTCCACATCATTCTTTTTCTTTTCTTTTTTTTTTTAAGATACAGTTTTGGTCAAGTATACCAATGTCAAAATTGATAACAGTAGCACCTGTAAGCAGCTGCTGCTTATTGAGCAGCTAATGAGCACAAGCTCTGTTAATAAGGGTCTTAGATGATTGTCCTTTGGCTTTTCCTGAACTGCCTGTTCTTGAACTTCTCTTTCTGCCAGTATTCATTCACATTATACTGTAAATGTGAACTTTAGTCTCACACCTTTAGTAGATACTATGTGACATAGGCAATTGTGGATTCTCCATTGATGTCCAGGTACTGTAAAGTTAAATAGAAACCAGATAAGTCAGTATTTCTTCTCCTAGATGTTTACTAAAGAAAAATGAAGGGCTGGGGATTTAGCTCAGCGGCATAAGCGCCTGCCTTGCAAGCAGACAGTCGTGGGTTCGATCCCTGGTACCGATAAAAACAGCAAAGACAAAAAGAAAAAGAAAAATGAAAGACTTGCACTCAAGTGTTTAGAGCAGCATTATTGATAAAACTGGAACAGTCCAGTTGGGCACATCTGCTGCTGACTGAGGGGTTCCCATGTAAGGTACCACCAGCAGTAAAAAAGAAAGACATACTAATACTGTCTGCCAAATGGATGAAGCTCATAGGCATTTTCCTTCATGACAATGTCCAAACATCAAAATGTGCATACTGACAATACATGATGTTTAGCACCTGAATAAAATCACTGAATGTGAGTAGATGGGGAATATGTCATTTATATTTAACACATTTTTTAAAACTACATCATGTGTAATTCTAGAAAAGGCAATTATAGTGAAGAGTGGCTGTTAGGTTGGGGTGGATTGACTTTAAAGAGCACAGTAGAACATTTTGGGGTGATGGAAATATTGTAAATAGTGATTAAGTAAATTAGATTGAGATTTACTGGACTGCACATTTAGAAGTGGTGAAGTGTTATTTTTTGTAAATTATAGTTCAATAAAGCAGATACACTGAAAGAAGAAAAACTTGCTAGGAGTTTGATAGTGTTAAAAAATTCTATTTTGGGGCCAGGGATTTGGATCAGTGGTATAAGCACCTGCCTGACAAGTGCGAGGTCGTGATTTCTATCCCTAGTACCAAGAAAAAAAAAGTTCTATTTTTTAGTAAATTCTTAAAGAATGTTTTACTTTGCTGTTTATAAAATTTGTGTGCCAAATCATGACTAATTTGGTACAGGAGAATATATTCTTTTTCATCCCTCATTGGGTTGCTTGAATATGTTTAGTAACTGCAAACAATATATAGTTCATTTAGGGCCCATAAATTAATTTAAAATTGCGGGGCTGGGGTTTTAGCTCAGCGGCATAAGCGCCTGCCTTGCAAGCAGGCAGTCCTGAGTTCGATCCCTGGTACCGATAAAAATGAAAAAGACAAAATAAATAAATAAATAAATAACATTGCTTTAATGAGAATATTTCAGTCATATTCCCACAAGTAAGACAGGAGACTGTGGGTTGTTTCTCAGAGTTGGTCTTTTTGGGATTGAACTTGGACTAATTGCTCTCTAGAGGGGTGATTAAGTTTTGGTATTCTTTTGCACTTTTGGTGTCAACTTGTTTTTGGTTTAAAATATTTTAAATAATGTAAGGGTAAGGAAAGTACCACATCTGTATCTTTTTACATTGATCTTTCACTAGGTTTAGGCAAATTTCATCCCCTCTCTGCTTCCTCAACAGCGTCCTTCTCCCTTGGTCTCTGGGAATATTACACTCTGTTGATTTGTCTTCTACAAAATGACGTCATGCTCTTTGACTGCTACTTCTTTGTCTTAGGTTCCCTCATGGGAACACAGCCTGCTGCCCAGTTTTCTCTACATTTACCTCTCAACAATATCTTTTCCTTTCCTATAATTAATCTGTTGTAGTACACCTCACATCTCATGTTGTGAATTTCCTATTTAGATTTTTGTTATTTTGGCTTCTTCCCAGCTGGTTTAACAGTCCTGTTCATCTTACCACTGCCCAAAATAAACCTTCTTCCCTTTCTACTATTTCTCTTCCATTCTGGTCTTCTCTATATCTTTGAGAAACTTCTACTCTTTTCCTCCTCAGCTTAGAGCCTAAAATACTGCCATGCTCTCTTTTTTCTCTGACTATTTTGTTAGTGTTCAGGTCGTCTTTCTATTTCTGTTGAGTATCTCCCTGCCTTTTTGTCTCTGGTACCACCTTTACTCTAGGTCCTGGTGGAAAGGGGCGTGTGGCACCTCTAAGTCCCTCAGGCTCTCACAGTCCCCAGTGAGAGCCATTTGTCAGGATGGCAAAGAAGGTTTCATAGTGGGGGAACCCCTCTCTCACCAAGTCCATGTTCCAGACCCCTGTTAAGTAACTGAACCGGCAGATTCCTAAGTTTTACTTTGCTATAGAGCATACCAGGTCATTCGGCAAAAAGCTTGGTGTTTACCTGTATGTACATTGCTGCCTGTGAGTCACAGTCTGTTGATTCCAACTCTTCCTTCTCGTGAATGCATGGAAGTGCCTCCCATGACCATGCACAGCTTGGGTTTTGTGGTTTGTGACGCCATGGGACCACTTCAGACTGGCTGCCTTGGTGCTGTCTCTGCCCAGTCCTTAATTCTTACACAGTTTTTCAAATGCAGAGCAAAAACAAAGGGCCTGGTGGCACAGAGCGCTGTGTACCACGATCTTCTGTCAGTCGTGGAGTGTGTGGCTGTTTTAACTCACTGTATTTCCTTCTTCACTTTTACTTTGGGTTCATTTCTTTTTCATAAATTCTGCTTCCTTTTTCATGACTTCTGCTAAGAGCTAACTTTGTACTTAAAGAAATGTGGGAGAATTTTGTTAGCAAGCAAAGAAAGACTGACTATCCCTTACTTGCCCTCCCTCACTTCTCCTTTTCTCCTCCTCCCTCCTCTGTCCCCCTACGCCTCTTCCATGGGTCTTTGAGCCGGGCTACACATGTGCTCTGTTACTGAGCTACACCCCAGCCCACTGCTGTTTCTAAGGTGAGAACAGTATCTTGCAGTTTAGTTCTATACTTAGACTTAGAAAATATCATACTAATCAATGTTAATCTCCCATTATTTTGTTTTGAAATTCTGCATCATCAGTTTTATTCTTTTTTTCATTTTAAAATAGGAAAAAAAATACCATTACGGGTAAAATAGAAGTAGAAAGATAGGGGCTGGGGATTTAGCTCAGCGGCATAAGCGCCTGCCTTGCAAGTAGGCAGTCGTGAGTTCGATCCCTGGTATCGATAAAAACGAAAAAGACAAAAAAAAAAAAAGTAGAAAGATAATGAATTATTTCAATGAAGAGGGTATTTTAGGTATTTCATTTAAAGTACTAAAATAAAGTTCTTTTTTAAAAAAAAGTTAAAATAAGCCTACTGTATTTCTTTGCGAAAAAATGAAAGTATTTTCAGGCTGGTGGAAAAATTGAAAGCCGTTACCAGATTTGGAATGAAGTAATCGCAAAATCCTGAGTTTTCTGAACCATGTGTAATAAATATGTTTATTAACTTTTCCTTTTATCTTTGGGTGTTCCAGAGGGGTGTTTGATGCCTCCCTCAAAATGGCTGGCTTCTATGGATTGTACACCTGGCTGACCCATACTATATTCGGTATCAATATTGTCTTCATACCATCAGGTAACCATCACATGCAACTTCCGCTGTCAACTGTTAAAAGAGCTAGTCATCTTACATACATTAGGAAATGTCCTCTCCGTCAAATGTAGACTGGCTTTTGTGGCTCAAGATGTAGTTCAGACTAGGAGCAGTATATGAACTGAAGTAATTGGTAGAAGCAATGTGTTGTCAGATAGCTTTGTCCCACAGCCAGGTGAAACTTGAGAACAAATAAGCTGCTTAATGCCATCTTGTTCTTTTTTCTCTGTTCTTCTCTTTAAAATTTTTCTTTTATTCCTGTTGCTTCATTTTCCTAAATCTCTACCTTACATTTGCTTCTACCATCATTTCTCCCACCTGTGTGTATTCTCCCTTCTTTCTTTATATTCTCAAGTTAATTTATGTGCTTTCCTCACTGGGGTGGGTCCATTAACTGAACCTCTGACATGCAGGCACCCCAAGAGCATGTAGGGGTTACTGTTTTCTAATCACCTGCAAGACAGGCAGGTAGGTGGTGTTTTTGTTACATAGATGAGAAACCAAAGTTTTCCTAACATGCTTAGTGGCCAGACTAAAGCCAGAGTCTGCCCTCGTTGCCTGTTAGTCTAGAGAAATGCCAGATGGAGACTGAGTTGCTTACTGCTCTGGAAATGGGCAAGCTTAAAGTCAGATCCATTAACTCCAAGGGCTTTTGTCTATTTGCATTTATATAACATTTTAATGAGAAACAAAGTAAAGAATATACATTCATATGTGGAATTGGGAAACTAATTTCTGATGTGACAAATTTTGAAAAATGTACTACAGCTTCATTTATAGGATCATACATTAACTAATCATTGATTCAGCTAACAGTTGTGAAACAGTGAGATTTTATTACCTCAGAATGTCTCCAATGTTGTTTTTATTAATATTGCTATGTAGTGCTATGTTCAATTATATTATGCCTGATGATATAGATAACTCTATTGAAAATAACAAGAGAATGCATAGTAACTACTGTAGATCACCTAGTATTATGGTTTTATATATCTTCTTTGTTTCATGTTTTTCTAGGAATTTGTTCTGTTATCTTGTTTTGATCTGTTTTTCCCATAATACAGAAAGGATAGGTACACATGTAGGGATTCTCGCATGTGTAGAACTTCTAAACAGTTTACGAGAATAGATTATATAATGCACGATGTAATGAACGTATACTCTGAAGAAAAAGAGACTAAGATACCCAGTGCTAATTCTGTAGCATTATGATGTAAAATCTAGCAATACTATTATTCTCTGTTCAGAGTGCTATTAGTCTATTTTATTTAATTTCAATATATATAAAGATATAGACAGCTGTTTTGAAGAGAAGGCGAGACATTATAGCAGCCATTGCTGACTTCCCTATTGTCTGGTCTTGAAGATCTAAAATGCCTTCATCATCCTGTTCTGATCAGTTTAGTACTATATTGTTCGGTATGTATTCACTGTGTGTGAAGATGTGGACAACTGTTTGGAAGAAAGCAAGAGACAATATGATAGACAGTGAAGATCTCCAGTGGTCTTGCTTGGAAATCTGTGTTTTTTAAATTGTTTTCTTATGATCTGTTTTGTTCTGTTTAATTTTACCCTTTTTAAAATAAAAAAAAAAGCGGGGCTGGGGATTTAGCTCAGCGGCATAAATGCCTGCCTTGTAAAGCAAGCAGTTGTGAGTTCGATCCCCGGTACCGATAAAAAGGAAAAAGACAAAAACAATGTTTAAAAAAATAAAATAAAATAAAAGAACATATTTGAGCTGAACATGGTGGCTCATGCCTGTAATCCCAGCACTTGGAAGGCCGAGGTAGGGGGATCCCTAAAAGTTCAAGGCCAGCTTGGGCTACATAGTTAGTTTAAAGTGAGCCTGAACTACATAGTGAGATCTTATCTCAAAAAAAAGGAGCAGTTCATAGACACATATTAGGAACATTTTCAGTAACAAGTGAAGGTCTAATATCTTAAAATTTAACAAGAAAATTCAGTTTATGCATATATCATTCCCCCCGTAGGAGAGTTTGTATTTATATAATTTGTTTGATGACTGTTTTTAAGTAGGAGGAGCTAGGACTTTCTGCTGCTGTGTTAGGGTTGTTTTGCCAATGTTATTAAGTCATTTTCCTTCTTTTATTGTTCATTAGCTTTAGCAGCAATCCTTGGAGCAGTGCCCTTTCTGGGAACATACTGGGCAGCCATCCCTGCAGTTTTAGACTTGTGGCTGACTCAAGGATTGGGATGCAAGGCCATTCTGCTGTTAGTGTTTCATCTCTTGCCAACTTACTTTGTAGATACTGCAATCTACTCTGATATATCAGGGTAAGTATTCTGCAATCACTAGTGAATTGTTAAATCTTGACAAATTAATGTTTGATAAACAGTTCTGCCACTGTGGTTCTTTGAAACAGATCAAACAACATTACATTCAAGTCAGAGTCAAAAACTTTGGAAATGAAATAAGTATTTTTCCAAGTTTGTAGGTTTTGATAGCTCTTGTAGAAATTGCATTAAGTGCCAGTTGTAGCTTATACCCATAGTCTCAGCACTTGGGAGGCTGAGGCAGGAGTACAGTGAATTTGAGGCTAACTCGGTCTGCATAGTGAGCAGTCCTCAGTGTCCCTCCCTACACAAAGAGTATGTCAAGTAAAGTCAGCCAACATTTATATGACAAGATTGACATTGTTTTCAAAATAGATTGTGGTGAAACATTGAGCAAGTAGCTTGCTGAAACTGTCAAAATAGTTAATACCTTTGTTTTCTTGAAGTAAATTAAAGGTAGGCAGGTAAGGTTATAGAAATGGTACTCTTGGTTTAACTTAGGCGGAGTCCTTTGTGTGCATTTTCTTTTGGGTACGTTAAAGTAGAAAATCACTGATGAAGAGCAGCTCTGAAGCCCCAGGGTACCAAAGCAAAAAGAAACAGGCAACTCCGTAAACCACACTGAGAGGAACTTGTGTGCCTGAAACTTGGGAGCGAAAATTAAAAGGAGAGCATCAATGTGCGGTTAATGTGGTTTAGTAATTGGAGTTTAAACAGTAGGAAGAGGTTTGTAGTTTATGTGCAAGTGCTGCCCCTGATTTAAGCTTTGCCAGAGTTTATGTTGAGGCTTCCAGTGGTGGTGCATTCCAGTAATCTCAGTGTGTATGGGATGCAGAGGCAGGAGGAGCACAAATTTGAACCCAGTCTGGGCAAGTTAGTGACTTAGCAAGACCCTGTCTCAAAATGGTTTTAAAAAAAGAAGAAAGGATTAGGGATATAGCTCAGTTCAAAGGCCCTGGTTTCAGTCTTCAGTGCAGCCCCCGCCCCCTCCAGCCAGAAAAGAAACAGAAGGGTAGAATTTAAGATTTATTGTTACATTAACTTAATTATAAACTATTTTAGCCAGACATTAGAAAATGAAAAGTTTGACATAAACTATTTTATAGTTTTTTTAAATGAAGCTTTTAAGTAAGTTTTTTACAGAAAGCTTCAAGCAAGTAGATATTTTCTTCAAATATATCGTTTAGGGGAAAAGCTTATTTAGCATAATATGGCTTCCTGCCTTAAATCCTTTATTGATATGAAGAAGACAAATTATGAACATAATGTACTTGTTTCTTGAAGGCTGACTCACCACTGTGTTACATATTACGTTGTAATATATTGTAGAACATCCTAACAGGTTATTTGTAGCTTATTAAATTGCTCCATTCATCCGTGTTTAAAAACTGAAAACAAATAGAACATGACTTATTTCCTCAGCCCTTTTGCGTCAGTGGTCCTATCTTAGTGCTGTGCTGTGCTGCCTAATCAGTCTTGCTTTATCCGGTTATGTGAGTGGTACTGTCGTAAGCCTGCTGGGTAATTCTAACCATCCTGTGAAGTGAAAATTTTGGACTTTGTTGACAGATACTTACCTCATGAGCCTTTTTTTTTTTTCTTTATTACCTGTATTCAAAAGTGCTAGAAGGTTGTGAGAAGTCTACCCTATAAATAACTGGAATACTGTTAACATTACTGTCTTATAAAAAATTATTAACTTGATTACATGCTAAATTGTGCCTATGTAATTGTCCTTGAAGGTTGTAAACCTAACAGGTTGCTTAGGTAACCAGTCCTGAACCCACATTAATCTTCCTCAGAAGCCACCTGTAAAGAGTACACAGTGTCAGTTAGCAGTGCTGACATTATTCTTCCAATTGCTAATTCAGTAAGAGAGGCAAGTGTCACACACTGGTGCACAGGCAAGAAAACCTGGAACTATATTAGTATTATATCATGGAGTTGCCTGTACTGAGGTAACCTAAAGAAAACTGATAATAAAAAGCACGGTGCATTAAAGAAGCAACATTGTGTTAGAAAGGTATTTCAGATTTACTCTGAAGTGTATCTTCGTCAAAAGTGATAAACTGAAGCATGTTCCTTTTTTTCAGCGGTGGCCATCCATACCTGACAGGGTTGGCAGTGGCTGGCGGAGCTTACTACCTAGGCCTAGAAGGAGCAATTATTGGGCCCATACTGCTCTGTATACTTGTGGTGGCTTCCAATATCTACAGTGCCATGCTAGTGAGCCCCACGAATTCAGTGCCCACACCAAGCCAGACACCGTGGCCAGCTCAGACTCAGCGGTGAGTTCAAGCAGAATGATCATAAATTACGTGTAAGCATTGAACTATTCTGTCTCTGTATTTGGTAGTTACATTTATATTTTTCAGGATAAAGGTATTTAGTATTAATGTAGTGATAAACATTATAAAAGATATTAAATAAATATAAATCATTGGAAGGCTTTCCAGGAACGTTTTAAGACTATGTTTTATATTAAGCTGTAATATATTGTAGAACATCCTAACAGGTTATTTGTAGCTCAGAATCGTTAACTTCCTAACAGGTTATTTGTAGCTCAGAATTGTTAATGCCATAAAAGGCCAAAAATAATACAAAAGGGGTTGTGGAACATGGTGTACTAGGTTGAAGCAGAGACTCATTTCAAAAATAGGAAAACCAAGAGCTGAGTGTGATTGCATATGCTGAAATCCTAGCTCTCAAAAAGGTGTGGCGGGAGGATTGGGCTGAGGATAGCCTGGCGTGCCTGGTGAGTTGCGACTAACCTGGACTATAAATTGAATGTATCTCAAAAATAGATGAGAAAGAAATAAAAAATAAATGGTATAGCCAAATGCATTGCATGATTCCATGATGAGTTTCTAGATTAGGGATAAATAGAATCTGTAAAGGACATTTCTAGAACAATAGGGGACCTTAGGATATGGACTGTGAGATGATCAGTGTTAAACATCTTGGGCATGGGGCTGGGGATTTAGCTCAGCGGCCTAAGTGCCTGCCTTGTAAGCAGGTAGTCGTGAGTTCGATCCCTGGTACCGATAAAAATGAAAAAGACAAAAAAAAAAAAAAAAAAAACAAACATCGTGGGCATGATGGTACTATTTGGTTATGCAGAAAAATGTCCTTTAGGGCTAACGTGCCTGTCTGCTGTTTATTTTCCAAACTGAGAGAGAGACAAAGTAACTAGATAATGTTAACAGTTGCTAAAGCTATATGAAAGCTTATGATTGTTAATTGTACTAGTCTTTTAGTTTTCTGTAGGTTTGTACTTTTTCAGAATAAAAAGTTGAGAAAAAATTATTGAGGGGAACTAATAAAGAGTTGCAGCTTGTTATACAAGTATAGATATTAGTAATTTCTGTTATGTACTGTCACAAATATTTCTATACAATATTAATATCTCAGTTGTTTCATAATTTTTAAGATTGTTATTCAGATATAACTTTTTAATGATGAAATACATATCGTAATTTAAAAGTTAATGACTTTTTTCATATATTTGATGCCCATGTAATTACTACTCATATCAAGACATAAAGCATTTCCATTCCTCATGCTTCTTCTTGGTGAGACCCTCCTTCCTGCTGGTATTCTGCATGCAGACACTTTAGTTTTGCCTCTTTGGAACTTCATCTGAAAGCAATCATACAGTGTGGATGTGAGTTAGATCTTTTTGGCTTAACATTTGTCAGTGGGATTCATCCGTGTCATTGCATTCTTTTCCATTGCTCATTCTTTTTCATTGGTGTCTAGTTCCTAGTGTGTGAATATACCAAAATGTTCTTTTCATTGTACTGTTGATAGGCATTTGCATAGTTTGCATTTGATGACTGCTAGATAGCAAGATATTACTAACTTTCTCCTAGGTGTCATTTGCTGGACATGAGTGCCTGTTCTAGTTATTGTACACACACAAGTAGAACATTTGAGTGTCTGTCTGGTTTAGTGTTAATAAACACTTGCAAACAATAGTTTTTCTACCTGTTACACCAGAAATCACATCCTAACAACAAAAATCTAAGGACAGTTTCAGAATATAGAATTTTTAACTTTGTGGAGACTACTACATTGTTGTTATCCTCAACTGGAAACCTCTGAGTTCCCTACCAATAGGTATTCTGATGTCATCTAGGAATCACTGACAGTTGGTTCTGACAGTTGTACTAGTAATACTCTATTTTTATCTAAAATTTTTTAGGAACACGATTTTGCTTATTTTGCTTGTATTTCATGAGGAGAGTTAGGACCCTTTAATTTAGCACACATAGTTTTTGAGTTACAGGTGTTTGGATAGAGGGCCATTTGAGCTAATGCAATACACCTACTTGATGTTGTAAGGAAAAACCACTTTCCTTAAATAGAACATTGATGGAAGCTAGGCATGGTCATGCATGCCTGTAAACCCAGCACTCTGGGAGGTTGTGGCAGGAAGATCTCAAGTTTGAGCCTAGCTTGGGAGATTTAGCAAGACCCTGTCTCAAAATAAAAATGAGGATTGGGATGTAGTTCAGTATGAAGGCTCTGGGATCAATCCCCAGGACCTTAGGGGCAAAAAAATACATGGAGAGGAGTTTAGGTGGTTTTTGACTAAGACCTACCATTTCAGGGGTGTCCATGCCAGGGTCGTCTTCTGCCTGTGCTTCTGAGAACCCAGCAGAAAGCTGCTCAAAAGCAATACGGAGCCCTTGGCTGGCTCACTGTTGTATTCATTAGCCCCGCCAAACGAGAGAAAAAAAGAAAACTGGTAAAATATTTTGCTATTATTTTTGGAAAAAACTATTGATTTCAAGTCAGTAAAGCAAGATTTGGTTTTCAAGACAACACAGAAAAAATTAAAATGAGTTCTACAGGCAAAAGACCTTCCTCCTTCCGAAAGTAGAAGTATGCAATCATCTAGCGTGGGGGTTTAAAACGATAATGTGAGGACCGACACAGCCTTTCTCTTTTCCTTCAGAGTGAGCAATGCTGGGGGATTGAAGAATCAAACATTTGTGCAAAGCTTATTGAGGAAAAGAAGCCTCTGCCTTCTTTCTCTCCCTACTTTTTTCTCTAAAAAGAACTTTTTAAAAAAATTGTAAATATTTTGTTTGTATCTGGGTTTTGGTTGCTTGTAGACATCAGCTCCTGGCTCCCCCCTTGGCAGCTTTCCAGCCGCTTTCTCCACCTTTCCTCCCACAGGTAGCTGTGATGGGGGTAGATCGGTGTTCAGGCTGTTCATTACTGTGATTGTAAATTAGATGCATATTGAGCCTTCTCATATATTACATTGATATTTATCTGTACGAACTTTTGTGTTACTAAAGATACTGTTTTTGATTTGCTTTGTTTTTTTGTGTATATATTATAGGTAATCTAACGCTTGGCTTTTCACCCTGTGTTTGCCTCTTCCCTGGATATATTTAGTTGTTTTCTTTAGTTGTGTTCTTTAAGTTTTGTGTTTCCAAAGAAGTCTCTGTTGGAGTCCTCTGACCTGTTCTAGCAGGAGGCTGCTCTCTGCTTTGTCAGCTATCACCCTGTGTTGGAATCCTTTTTGTTGTATTCATGTAAGTTTTTCTTGATTTATTCTCTTATGGTAAAACCCATTCTGCTACAGATCCCCCCTCTCTTCCCGTCCCCCGCAAAACAAAAACTGTAACAGTTTGTTGGGAGATGCATTTCTGAGAAGGCTTTTCCTAATGTCTTGCCTGGACAGGGAATTTCATATTTGAATTTTTTGGCCTCTAATATTTCTGTACTTCTTCTTTGTCTTTTAGCTTCTGGGGCAGTGGGAGTAAAGCTGTGTGGCACGTGTGCCTCAGCAGGCTGTTTGTTATCATGGAAAGGTCTAAAAGGTTCGCCACTGTTCCATTGTTACTAAGGGCCTGAAACCATTCTGGTACTTGGATCTTGTTAATTTAACTGTTTGAAAAACCTGTCAGGTCTTTTTATTTAAACTTTAAAAAAATTTTTTTTTCCTGATGGACGTCTGATATAAGACCTTTAAAACTGGAAATATACATTCTGGTTTTCTGAAAAATTTGAGGTTTGCTTTCTCCTGTGTGTGTTTGATACTGGAGACTGAACCCAGGACCTTCAAACTGCACTGTATCCCCAACTTTTCTATTTTAAATTTTTTGGGGGGTGTTTGTTTGTTCGTTTGTTTGTTTTGAGACAGGTTCTTGCTAAGTCATGAAGTCTCCCAGGCGGGGCTTGAACTTCCGCCTTCCTGTCTCAGCCACGCAGAGTGCTGGCTTACAGATGTGTGCCACCATGCCTGTATGACTTAGTTTTCTTCCTTTCAGAAACTTTTTTCATTGTGGTACTGATCTTCATAGATTGTCATTTCATTTTCTTACCTTTTCTCTGATATTTTTACATTTCTTTCTTCTGGTTTTTGGGTGGTTTCTTCAACTTCGTCTTACAGCACTACTATAGAAGTCTCCATTTCTGCCCTCATCTGTTTTTCAGTTTGGTTATTGAGGTATTATTTAATCTATCCTCTTTTGGTATAGGTCTGTCTTCTGTGATGTGTGATACGTACAACTTAGGTTGCAGAATGTATTTGACACCGTCTTCAGCCCATGAGTCAGGCAGACCTCAGCAAGGTCTCCTGCTCTGGATCTGACAGAACTTCACACCAGGTGTCAGCCAGGACTAAGGTTTCATCTGCCATCTGGGATCTTTAGTTTCCCTTATTGGCAGAATTAATTTCCTTGCAGTTATGGAACTGAAAGTCTTAGCTTGTAGCTAAACTAAGACTGCCTCTTTCTTTAGGCAGTCGAAAATGTGGTTTTTACTAAGATTAGCAGAAAAGTCTTTTCTCTAACTTCTGTGTCTATTCTCTAAACAACCCCCCCCCCCAGCAAACCTTGGCTGCTTAGACACCTCATACAATTTCTTTATTGATTAATTTAAGTTCATCTGCTTTTGTCACATATGTGACATTTGTTACTATAAGGCATTTCTTACATATGTGAAATCCCTTATCATTTACCATATATTAGCTGGAATATCAGATATTAAAACGTTTTGGTTCTTGGCTCACTTTAAGATGGAAACATTTAGCCAGGTGTGGTGATGCACATCTATATCCCAGCACTCAGTGGCTGAGGTAGGAGAGTTCAAACTCAACCTGGGTAGGTTAGTGAGACTATCTCAAAATTTAGAAAAGAAAGAGTGCTAGGGACAGGGCCCAGTGGTCCTATAAAAAGGAGAGACATTTGGAAGTTGTAGCTGCATTATTAGATGTGTCATGGAACATAATCTGGTAGGCGATTGACTCGTGCCACCTTTCATGACACTG